GGTTTAGGAGTTCCTGGGATTTTGGGAAGGGAAGAAGAATTGGGCGTCCAGTAACCTCACTCACACAGCGAAACACAACGCAGTGGTTGTGTCACGCCGGTATTCTGTGAGGCTGTCATTCTGGTCGATCCAACCCATACGTGCTGAAGCATGGTTCACCCACACTTAAGCAGCCGTCACTTCTTCGGACTTCAACTAGTTATGCAATCGCTTTGAGCCTTTTTTTAAATCAAATTACTTCTCCCGCCAAGTTTGAACCGAGAGGGAGTATCTGACTGTTACTGACTAAATACCCCCCTGTTCCTTCTCCTGCTCTGGGCCCAGGTCGCGGGGCCTCATTGCGCTTACCCCGCAACTCCGGCTGAACATCAACCCTGTAGGGCCCCGTCTGTGGTGGTCTATTGGCTCTTTGAGGGCGCACGGAATACTATGCGCCGTACGTTCGGGTCTGGCTCTAGTAGGGCGGCGAATAGCCTTACTCACCACCTGCACCTTCCCCCCAGGGATTAGCTATTTGGGACCCATCCGAAGGTGGCGCGTTCCGACGGCCTTTGAAGCTCATGGCGTCGGACTTGTAGAGAGCTACTTCCGAGTCCCAACTGCTGCATCCTTGCAACGACTGTCGCAATCGTTTAAGGCCTTATTATTTTGTGGAATAGGAGGCGAACGAGCACAATGGATCTTTTGATGATGAGTGATCAGCGCCGCCCATGGACACCTGCAACATCAGAGGGGTAACAAACGGGTTGCCAGCCTTTTAAAATGGATTAAAACGATACGAAGAACGAATTCCTTTCTAATTAATGTGTTCACTTATTTTGCGCAAGACTTCTATTCCGGTGTTTGCGTAGTTATATCTACTTTCGATCCGGGCTGGAGCTGCACCTGCGGTTTTGGGAGGTGTTCATCCTCCACATAAAAAATTGATAGATGTGTACCTAAGCACATTGTAGATTATGCTGTGCCTACGCAATGTGTGCGGATTTGGGATGTAACCCTTGAAGTCCGGCTTTGATTATCTCTGACTTTTATTGGGACACATGCAAGAAACATGTAATTGTATGCTGATTATAATATAAGAATGGAACAATCACAACATAACCATACCGAATTAAGTTTTACCACCAGATTACGTAGGTTTACAAAGTTGCAATGAATTCGGTTCCATAGTTTCTAGAATTTTGGATTCGAAGTTTGTATGGCAATTCGCTATCCACAAAGCATCAGGCAGATGCCTGCCACACAAATTGTTAAAAATATTCTAGATGTTTCCATTAGCATTAAGTTAGTAGCATTTTATTTTGTCAACTTACGCACTGAACTCAACACTAGCGCCATCTCGTAACGCTGAAACGAAAACCCTCATTTCATAGTCCCCACCCCTTTAGCACTTTAGCCATATTGCCATCCCATACCAAACAGGGGAAACTCATATTATTATCTTTAATTTCAAATAATGTAAAAAGGAAAGACAGTTTGGACTAAGTGACAATTGTTACCTTTTTAGTACCTATGTACTTTTAGTATTTAAACTCAAAACTACATAAAAGGGTAATGACGAGTGCAAAACCCGAAAGAGGGTTAGAGGACTTCAGAATCATCTAGAATACACTTAAAATTGTTTGTTTTAACTGCGTTCTTCAACCTGCTTGAGGAGTTGGGGATAACGAAACTCTTTTCAATTTAGTCTAGCAGTGGACATTATAAGAAATATATTTCTGGCTTCGTAATCACTTAACCAAAATCAATTGCGCAATATTATAAACATGTTTGATTTTTCCTCATACTTTTGAGGTAGTCTTGGGCTGGTGTATGAGCAAATTGTAGACGCATGCTTTGCGTGCCAAAAATATAATGCTTAAGTAGGTTGGTATCATGTATCATAGACATCACACACAGGCATTGAATGAAACTATTAGATAGCCTTACTAGGCACGAGAAGTATACTTAAAAAAATCTGTAACAAGATAAATACTTATTGAAATAAATACTAGATTGGTATTCTGTGTGAAGAGCTGTATGTACCGTAAAATCAGAAGAGCTACATTCTTATTGTTTAAACTACAACATTATTCTCATATCTTGGCATGTTAAAAGCAAACGGAGCGTATATGCTTCTTTTGTTCCTTGCTCTTGCTTTTCTTTGCTAATATGAAAAATGCCCTTTTTGACTCAACTACAAAGAGATCTCGCTCATTTTGCTCTGATATCGTTAACAAAGATAACAAAAAAAAAAAACTATGCGGTCCTTTACTCATACTATAAAATGTAATATCAACATCCACCGGTCTGTACTACCTAATACAGGTACTGGCTAATGAGATGAAATGATAAGGTAGGTGCATGGTGTACAGAAATAAAACAGCTACATTTGTGTAGGGATTTATTAAGATTCTATTACATTCCGTAATTGACTGAAATTGATAGATCCAATAAATGCAATAGGATTTTGTAATCGCTAAGAGCATGACATTGAGTTGGTAGTACCTAAATAAAATTTGCATATGTAACCAAATTAACGAATTAAAACTAATTACAAACAATCAGTCCTTAATTTTCGTTACGATTCCCTTAAAAACGAGATCATATTCCTACTGTACAAGCATCAATAGGAGTATGATTTCGTAAAATATCAGTACTATCGACTGAGATCACTTCGTTTGAAGTTTACAATGGTCTAAGCGCACTATCCTAGGAAAATATTCACCAAAACCCTCGCGCTAGATGGTGAGGCTCATAGCCCAGTCTCGTTTACATTGGGCAGTAGGCCGAGCTTAGCGCTAAAAGGTATGCATTAAAATACTCTTTGTAGACTACACTGCGCAAACGAAACGTGCACTAGACTAATGAAATGGTATTATTCCATTTAACCTGCATTCCACACTTTTATAAAACATAAAGCACTGCTCTGTGATCCAGCCTCAACGAAACTAAATCCACGCTGTTTACATTGGTTGCAAAACGCGATGAGCCCCACATCCACGCAATTCGGTTAAAAAACATTAATCCTTATTGTATTTAACTTAAACTTAACTTAAAAACAACATAATTTACAATAAAGGTATTCTTCGCTTGGACATGAAGCGAACATTAATATACGAAGCTGTAGATAACATAAGAGATTAATAAGCATTGTTTAAACTTTATCGTTTCTTTAGCAACTCCCAAGCAGAATGAGAACTAAGAAAAAATGACAAATGTTATGTTAAGTGAGAAAATTTATTTAATTCATTTATATTTTCTATTCCCTCGTTATAGTGTTCTGCTGTACTCCTTAACAATATTGCACACTTTCAGTTTAAACAATGTTCACTAATCAAGATAAAATTATGTTTCAAATCGGTATTTTAAATCTTCAATGTCATAACTGCCATATATTTTGTTAAAACGTAGTTAAAATTCTATATACTTCTTGATATACAGTATTTTGAAAACATTTATTAAAATTTAAATTTTAAAATCCATTGATTAGAATATTTATTATCAAAATACTTGAAATTTATAGTTAATTTGAAAGTGACAATAGTCGCCAACAATTGAAATAAAAGTCAAATTATCATTTGGATAGTATGTAAAATAATGTCAAAATATTAACGTGAAGTGTGGCTACCTCAAAGCCATCGCTTCAAAGCATAAAAAAATCGAACATGTCATGATTTAAAACATAATAATGAATTAGATTTTGAAATTAGATTATTGTAAAATGGTCTAATTTTGAAATAGGTAAGGACGTTTTCAGTATAGGTACTGGGAGATACCCATCAGAATTCAATTAGTTTAGAAAGATAAAGAAAATAAGTTTAGCTGATTCATGTTAAGAAAATAGGAAGTGAATAACAGAGCCGTCTTGAAGAAACTTTTATTGATAAATTGATTTATCCCATTGAAGTTTCTTCCCAGTGCTTAGTTCCCAAGGAGGGAGAGGAAGGAACTACACCAGATTGATAATCTTACACACTGACATGTAACTAGTTAATATTATTTGAGGGCGCACGGAAAGCCGATGTGCCACGTTGCGAGGTGGAACTCGATCAACGTTAGTGGGGCTACTGTGTACTAACAACATCGACTTTTAACGACGAATATAATTATACTGATTTAACTACACAGCATTTAAATTGCTTGGACATCTTATGAAGCCTTTACTTCCAGCGAAATAAAGCTTAAAGACGGCCCCAGTGAACAAAGAGTGACTGACCTGATGAGTTGTATGTGAGAATTATTGATCAAACATTTATTATTGATATCTTGAAATAAATATAGTCCACTTAACATTCAACATCGAGATATAAATAGTTGTACATCGATTAACAACATTCAACATATATTATGACAATATAATCGATACATTGATTTGTTTACGTTACGTGAGACAACAGTAAATTAGCGACGTATTAAACAGTCGTTAAGATGGAGGTGTTACGTAGTACTAGACAATCTGAGCTGTAGTGCGGTGCCGAATAAGAGCGATTATTCTACGGTTCCAGCACGCACATAAACTCATATAGAACATCCATAGATGACTATTCGATCATTTGCTTTACGTAAATTGCTAGTCACGCTTATAGATAGAGACAGTACAAGCCTGTAGTTATTATTTAATTCCCAAAATATTAATCTGAGCCAAACACCTTATACAGAATCTTAAAGGAACGTACTCTATCACATCGTAAATTTATTATATACTGAATCTGTACTCGTAAACTATGTTAAGAAATAAATAGGTAGAATAGTCAGGTCAGGGCCGTTTTGTGTACCTATCTTAACAATATGTATCGCACGCAATAAACGTGTGTATGCTATGGACTATTTGCAACTATTTATTGTTACGCATCTAACACAGACAATATGTAGGTAACGACCAAGAACATCAAATATGAGTATCCTTCGATTATTTCTTTCTTCTTACGACTACAAGTGTTCGGGTTTCAGCCGCTAACAAACATTTACCTATCAAAACACGGCCCTGCTCTGCACGCGGACATTATCATCAAAGAACATCAATTACCAAGCTGAGTGCCTGTCATTAATCGAAATAATTTAATTAGTCATTTATTCATCGAGATTATTAACATACAATTAACAACTAACACACAATTTAACTATTTTATAATAAATAATTTAAACATGCATCAATAAGTGTAATGGTACCGTTCGAGATCATTCTCAACGTGTGTCCAGGCCTACGTCTTCAATATATTTAATCAACAGTTCGCGTTTTGGTGCTACATAATCTATTACTTTATTTATATCTTGCACAAAATATTCAGTATCCCCAGTACACAAGTTTCTTAACTTCAGCGGAGGAATATAATCCTTTTCGGAACATTAATTACAATCCACAACCAGTAGAAAGTTACTTCCTACTTCGTCCTATATTCATATCTAGGTAAATACACATATAGCTGTAGTACTTAATTCTAAGTAAACATTTAATCGCATGCGTCGTTCAAAAGAACATTCAATTCAATTAGATTCAAGAGATTAATCCAGTCGAATATACAATAACACTTAGAATAAACCGCACTTCGCATAATCTACTCAGTCGGTGGCGCCGTGACCTGCGATCTACACTAAAGTACCAACCAGTGCTACGGATTACTCAGGACGTTCCAACTCTGGTTCATGCTGGACCCCACTTGAAACTCGGGTAAAAATAGTTGGCAAGCCTAGAGACCATATCATACCCAAAGTCATGTTACGCAATCAGTTTATGGAACACTATAAGCATTGGTTTCGTACTTTTGTAGTAGACCATCAGCATTCAAGATATAAACCTCTGCACGACATATAAACGCTGAAACTGCCCAAAAATATAACACACACCGTGCGTTAATCTAGTATAACATTAAGAACTTTAACTCTAACAGTGTACTACAGCTCCGCGGAGCTGGAACACAAGATCGTCCGTAAGCCGACGGGCGTCGAGCTGAGTCCTTATAGCGGGTGGTGGCATTGAGATGGAGCCGCGCAACAACATTGCTCTTTCACGAGCTAACAACGCAGACGCACTTTCAAGTTGCAGTAGAAGCCTTGTCCTAGAACAACGTACTATCCGATGTGGCTTCTGAAAGCGAGCGCGCCTACGGTTTAGTTGTTTAACTTGAGGATGGAGTCGATGGAGAAATCGACCCTGCGTCGTTGCTCGAGCATGATGAACGTCTGGACGGTGTGCAGCGCTGCCGGATTGGCCGATGACGGCCCCGGGACGGCAGCATCGCCGCCGCCTCCGCCGCCACCCTCTTCCTTTCAGCTGGGCTTCTGCTGCACCTCACGCATTATAAGCTAAAACAATTCAATCACATTTGTACTCACAAGTAACTGCGCTACATAACAATCAATACAAACATTAGGTACATTTAGGGCTCGTTTCTATTATATTCATTTCAGGGTACCGAGGCATTTTGAAAATACAAATTTATAAGTTTTTGATTTACATCACATTCAAGATGATGATGCTAACGGAGGATCCTGAGAGGAATATAAATGTCACATAATTGCAACACTGTAGTGTATCTGTATTGCTACAGTGGCAGTGTGGCTTACATTGGATTTTACCATGCCATATTAGCACCAGTTCAGACATATCTATGGTCATCTCTAAGCGCCTTTCTTACATAGCTTAACAAAGAATGCTTATAGCAAATAATAAATCTAACAACTGGACTGGTCGCTTGAGCAATGAAAACATAAAACAATTAAAAAAAATAAGTTTCAATGCTTGTAACTAAATAAAAAGCATTGCATATAATAGGTCTTTACCCATGAAATTGCCGTTCTACAGTACTGGCCGTACTAATAGTTTTTGTTAGGCTAAGGCTAATTAATTTTGTTTTAAAAACATGGGGTTCTTTTTCCAAAAGTAGTCAGTTGTTTATTGATTAGTGTTACATTTTCATCGCATTTCAAATCAAAAAATTCGTTTAAATTTTTTCATGTAAAACGGCAATTTCATAGGTAAAGACCTATTATTTACTATGTTCGATGGCACGCAAAGCGAATGCTTAGATAGCATTAATAAAATAATAATAGATACAGAAAATAAAAAATATTTGGATAAAAAACGGTCTCTAAACGGTATCTCGGTGGCCTAAGTCAGCTAAGAGCGGGTGGGTGATGTGTAAAAGCATAATTAAATGAAGAAGGGGAAGGGTGATATGAAATCAAACCACTCATGAGAAACAAATATGAACAAACTTGACTTTATTCTGGAGAATGTCGGTCAAGTGCAGTCGTCATGATTGTAACGTTTACTGAACATTGTACCAAGGGAAAATTTTACGAGAGTTTGAGATTCAAATCTTTGTAAATTTACTTAAAGATGATAGAGTAATCACCATAATTGGTAAACTGATTTCTTTGTATAGTTAAATTTATGAGGGATAGCCCTAGGTCAAACGCAGTAATTCTAGTTGTTAGTATCACGGTTGATCTCTCTGGAACGTCCCGTGTTAGGTCCTCAATAAATGACAGTGCCTGGAAAAGGCCATATCAATCTCATTTTTCTGAACCCTTAAAGCGTATTGGGTACAGAGCCGACCTAAGGCCGCACTATGAGGCGGCTGCTTAGCGCCTGGTGCCTGGCCATCTCTTTACAATTTGTTAGTTTGCTGAGGAAGCTGCAAGCTAAGTGACTAGATACTGCGCCAAGCGCGCGTCAGCTAATAGTCACGCTAATAGGTACGAGAGTCCGATGCCATTTCGCAGTTGCGGACCAGGCGCTAAGTTAGCCTCCCGCTCCCAGAAGAGAAAGGATAAGCGGGACTATGCTCCACCGGACCAAAAAAAGGTTTTAAATCTTTCATAGAGACTGCCAGAATCTGGCCTAGTACTGCTCGAAATTTATTGAATGTTAAGGAGAAAGTCCAAAGTTCATTACATCCTACAACAAAGAGAAGTGTCTCATAAATTGGAATAATAATAGTAATAGAAAATCAAGCACAATTGCGCAACGTGACGGGAAATTTCTAGAGTCTTGGATCCTTGAATAATAAGTAGAATTTTTAATTGATGTTGAGTCAAGATATTATCCAGCTCTTTTGCTTCTGTGGGAAAGATAAAGGTGCGCATTTTTACTGTAAAACTTCATTTAAAACCGTCATGACTAATGTGGTCAAAATTCATGGCAATTCCGACAAATGTATGACAGACACTTTACAGAGTTTTCTTGCGATACTTGTTCTACTGTGAACGTTGGGAAGTTATGGACAACTCTCCATTATTTGTAACAGAGCATCATAAAAACTGCACCGTTTGGTTTAAAATAAATGACAACAATTAATTTCAAAGTATATCATAAAAAAAATATTGAATACAACATTTATCCGTGCTAGGGGTGCTAAAATTTAAAAATGAAAACATATTTAACGACTAGGGAGAATAAAAATCGAATGATGTAACACTACCGTATATACGGAAGAAATATGGCAGTCGCTATATCAAATTACTTACTAAAATAGATGAAGAAATGGATGAAATTCAATTGTAGTTCCCTCGGGACGATGTGAAATTTTAAACAGATTAGTAAAATGTTTGTATGAATATAAAGTGAGACCAACTATTTCTGACAAGCTTCTGTTGTTAAAGAATAAGATAAGTCATTCAATGGACTAAATGCGGAGCCACGAGGTAAATCTTTTACTGAAACTGGAGAAGCACGAAGATGTGCTGTGCACTATGATTCAGCCTTTCTCTTCGAGTGAATTTTCGAAAAGAATGCGAGTTGAAATGAGCCAGGACGTGTGTTAACAATTTAGAAACTTAAACCAATAACAATTTGATAGGAATTGTTAAAAAATTCACTGTATTTAGATAGTTTGTGCTTCCCTAGGGGGCATCGGGAGCGTCATACCTGGTGTGGGCGGTCCGACGTGATAGTCTCGGCGGCGCGCACCGGCGGCGGCGGCGGCCGGACCTGCATCATCTGCGGCCCATTTTCGCGCGTGCACCGGCTCGGCTCGGGCGGGCCAGTCGTCACTACGCAATGGCACATCACTTGAATTCGTACATCTCTCTCCTAGTACCATTTCTGCGACAGTTTCAGCAAAAACAAACATATTAATTTCTATACTTACTCTCGGTTCTCGAAAGGCTGTGGTCAATGCAAAGTAAGGAAACCAAATATTATGCATACTTAAAATTAGAAGTACAATTTCTTAATCAGCCTTTCGAAAATCGAGCGTATAGTGAATAAAAGAAAATAAAGCAATTAATTAATCAATCATTCGTATTTTCCTTAAAACGTCTGCTGATACCTATATTTTAACCTGGAACTGTTGTAGAAAACATGTTTATTAAACTGTAGCTGATTTGAAACATTACTAACTGTAATACATAACAATATAAGCATAATAAAGAAACATGTACACAATTTTCTAGTGTAAAAGAAAAATATTATAGTTACTTTTTACTGAAACTACATTCTTCTGTTCATAAAAAAATATTTAAAAACACATTTGATTTTGATACCAGAATCCCGTGCCAACTATAATAAACTAAAAGGATAGACAAATCTACAAAAATATATTTGAAATAACACAAATTATGTACCTTGTTAGACACGACATATTAACGCTTCCATAAAGTAACTAATAGTTTCTAATAAAAACAAAGTGTAGCAAATGAACAGAACTAAGAAAAAAAAACATGAAAAAGAGTTAAACATTCCATATACATATGTAAGTTAAAGTAATAAAACAATAAAGCAATAAATGAAAAGAAGAAAGGATAAAAAATAATATAAAAATCTTAACAACCTTTAAGAAATCATTAATTTTATAACAATCGTTAACACAAACACAATACAAGGCTTACAAAATAACTAACTAATACTCAATTACTACTTAATTTAACGTGACATGAGACTGAAAACGAAGGAATATAACATTTTCGAAAAGAGATTAATTAAAACATTGTTAAGATTTCCCTGTTTCATACAAGATTCAACGTACCAGTGGTGAGCGGTATAGCGAGCCGAGCATTTACTGCGAGCAGGTGGTCACGACGTTGGAGCAGACTGCCTACATGCTCCTCCAGGCGAACGTTCTCAGTGCGCAGTTGGTGCAGGCATGACAACAGCGAAGCGACTGTGCACACGTTTCTTGTGTTAGCCATACATACATTACAATTATCACTTTTATTAAACACCAACTCTAGCCTGACCAACACAACCTACAGTACTTTACAATCATCGTGAAACATCGGCTTATAGAAAAAGATACAAGAAATAAAATATCACTTTTTCATCTGTCGCTGTTTTTCTTATTATATTGTAATTTTCCAGTGGAGTACCGGTTCTTCATACTCACCAGCGGCCTCCATGAGCGCTGTTTGGCGTCTTAGATATGGATGATATCTCAGCGCACCTGCATACAAAATATCCTAGATAATACCGTAGGTTATTACACACTATTCTCAAGCTACAACCATTTAATTCGCTATTTATTACTTATACATTTCTGATTAAAGTATTTAAAAATTATTGCAAAAGGGTTTATGATAATGTATGTTAATAAGAAGCAAAAGAAAAAACATGATATAGGTAATTATGTGACATTGTAATAACGAATTAAATAAGTTTTACAGTAAAAAGAAAATGTGTATATTAATACATAGATTTATAGACACTTACTATTTTGTATAACACGACCAATAGGAGAGATCTTCTCGTCTTATTTCTATAAACAACACCAACATTTGTAAGCAAGTTGCACGTACTTAGACATCGATTTACACTGCCAGTCGAAGTAATGCTTGGTTACATAGATCGCAGACGATATCAAAATGGTTTATTTCTGTCCATGGTCATTTTTACAGACTTTTTCTTAAGATACGAACCACTGTGAAATATCCATTTTGATATCGTCTTGCCACTTGAATAGATTTTTTAAGTCTTTGTTCCCATACGCATTCAAGATTTTACCAACTTTTATTTATTTATTTTTAAATACCACTAAAATTTCTTTATGTGTTTTGTTGGAATACGCAAACAACTTACGAGCCTTAAAATGCGTGATATGGTAACAAAGCCTTAGCAAGTGGGTGCTGATAACACATATAATATGCTTTCTACCTCAGATAGGCATTGCTCGAAGAGCATGCAGCGAATAACAACGTGGTATATGTTCCCGTTGCTATTCTCACAACAATTAATGCGACATTGACGGCCAATTTCACAGTCTAGTCAATCATCCACCAGGTCACAAAGGCGGAATTAAACTTAATAGCGATACGAACAAAATATTAAGCAATTAGTTACTGAGACTTGTGAAATTGACCCATAATTTCAATAAGTTCATACCCATTTTTTGTAATTATATGTTTTTGGCAACGTAAAGCCAATTGAAAGATTATTCATATTTAATTTTCTTTGTATTCGTTACAAAGACATGGGCAAGTATTGATATGACACTATGAATGCTATATAGTATGCAAAAGAAACATATTGTTTAAGGAGTATGCTTTTATTTCATACTTTCCATACTATTATTGAATCATTTCAGTGAATTTACTAAGACATGTTTTGGGAACAACACAAGAGTAAAGCATTCGCCTTAATAGCATTTTGTATTAGCTGGGATCGAGAGGATAAAGAGAGCTGGAAAATAAACTACATTTGTTTATTGGTCAAGTAATTAACTTTGATAAATATTTCTTTCTGTGACTTCAATACGAAATTCCATCAGAACATTGTTAGTTATTTGCTGGTGGTTGAATTTTGTAACTTTTAAATATATTAGTCAAATTTTTTTGTAACAAAAACACAATTGCTGTGTACAATTTTTTTCTGTACATTGCTAATACTTTTACCAATAATGTTAATGTTTAATGATGATGACAAAACAAAATCGCTTCTCGGCGTCTATTTTCTGATGGTTAAAACTGAGAATCAAGAAACAAACCACAAATAAACGAACTAACATTACAAATCAAATTGATCTGGTAGAATAACGAGGTTTACACTACAGCTGACTACGATCGATTACTTACCAGCTAATAAAAAATATTTTCTTTTTGTGATCAGGGATGTCGCGCACAGCAGAGCATATTCAGGGGTGGTAGATAGCTCTAATCCACTACAGTCAAGCGAATGTTTGGAAGAAATTTGACCTATCAACATCGACAGAGCTGTTCTGGATTTCTCGTCCTTTTCTGATGCTCAATGTTTCATAATAGTTGCAAAGTACTGTCTAACTTAAGGGGATTACGAAGGGGGGAAAATAAAAAACAGATATAAACATTTAGGAACATGAAAAAATAAAAATAACTACGACGATAATACATGCGCAAAGTTCGCACATACTTAGTCGGGTCATAAGTTCTGTCACAAACTTTTGATGTAATAACTTATACGCCTTTTGACAATTATTTAAAAATTATATATGAAATGAAAGGTCATTAAATGTACAATATAATTTTATTTACATTATTCGAAATGCCCTCCCCCATTTTGAACACATGCCCTTAATCTACGCGGCCAGTCATCGATCGCTGCACGCACCACATTCATATCTATGTCTGCCGCTGCTTTAACCAGAGATGCTCGGAGAGACTCCAAATTCGGGTGAGGTTTAGCACAGACTTTTTCCTCCAAATATTGCCATATCTTGTAGTCCAGTGGGTTTAAATCTGGACTAGAAGAGGGCCAGTCTTCATGCCGGATGAAGTCAATTCCACGAGCGATCAACCAGTCTTGCGTACTTCGTGCCTTATGAGCCGGTGCAGAGTCCTGTTGGAATATCCAATGCCTGTTCCTGAACATTGTCTGAGAAAGAGGTTCCACTATGTTTGTTAGGACAGTATTTTGATAAACTTCGGCACTAGTTCTCACACCTTTTTCACAGAAAAACACCTCAGTTACGCCTGAATATGAGACTCCAAGCCAAACCATGAATGAGGAAGGGTAATGCCCACGCTGGACCCTCGCAATACGCGCGCTTGCTTCTTCACTGCTGTGGGCATACACCTTATCATTTTGTTTGTTAAAACTTTCTTCAATAGTAAAAATTTTTTCATCCGAAAAAAGAATTTCGCGGTATTTTTTTCCCGCGTACCGTCGTAGCAAAGCGCGGGATCTGTCTAGCCTAATTTTTTTTAAACGCTCGTTCAAAAAATGTCCTGTCTTTTTACGATAAGCTCGTAGTCCCAGGTCTTCATTTAGTACTCTTTTAACAGTGGTTCTGCTTAGCCCCATCTGCAGAGCTAGGATTTTTTGTTTACGTACGGGATTTCGTTCGATTCGCGCCTTCACTGCTTTGATGACCTTATGTGTCCGAACTGTGCGAGGTCGGCCGCTTCTCTTACGATCTTCGAAGCTTGACTCTTCGGTGTATCGTTTGATAGTACGATAAACAAACCGTAACGTTATTTTCAAATTTTGAAGAATATTGAAAATGTCTTTTGGCGCGTAACCACAGCGGTGCAACGCGATAACCGCGATTCTGTCTTCTTTATTCGACCACTCCATATTTAAAAATGAATAAAAAATAATTTCTTTTTTATTTTCTACAAGCGCGAAAGTTCTATTTTTAAAATAAGTCGAAGAATTTCTGGCCAGTAATCGAAAATTAAAAATATAAGGTTTTGACAGAACTTATGACCCGACTAAGTATATTGAGAACATGCATGTGGTCTTACGAGGATGATAACCCACATGCTGTTTATTGAATTACGGTCCTTACATGAAATACATCAAAGTTGGTAATGCGTCACTACTCTATATACTGATCTGCATGAACGTGTACTTACTGTCGAAGTGCTGGGCTTGTTCCATGAGGAACTGTGAGCCCTGTTCCCACTGCCGTTCCAGTAACTGATCGAGGCTTTGAGCGCTTGACGACCGTCCCGAACTGATACTGCCGCCCTGTACCAAGATAATTATAAAATGCTTGCTGCCCATATCTTGTATTAAAATGCGTAATACGTACCTGGTTAGTACAGTCGTGATGAATAGCGAAGAGTGAGATAGTACTGTATATTTAATGGCATAAACACACACACTCACATTAACATGAAAGTTTTATTTTAAATACAATATGATCACGACAAACTACTGTAGTTATTTAGAGATGACCTTACGAATTTATAAGCGAACGATAAGTTAAAATAGTAATTCGACTTTTATTGTTCTAATACTTGTCTGATAACTGTCCAATATTTGGTAGAGGTTCTACTTGCAAGACACTCTGTAAGTAAGTAGCCTATCGACTGCAGTTTAACTGTTTTAAATGAGCCTACAAAACCTTCATTAAAAATGTTGTAAGTCCGTCAAATATATCATTGAAAACGTTAAATCTTTATATATATTTTTAATATTAATATATGACTAGTCTATTTATTTGCGTACCCTAGAGTTTGTCGAGTGGGAATGTAAGACGAAATGACTAAATCTCCCCGTTCCTTCTTCAGTGAATTACTTTTAGACAGCATAAGAAAGTTTTGGGCAATACTGTGTTTGTGTTTTAGTAAAAAGAAAGAATATAACTTACAGGGGCAGCTTTGTTGATAAGCGGCGGTGGTATGAGGGTGTCTCCACCGGCGCTACCGGCGGCGTGAGCTGCTAATTCAGCTGTTAATTGTTCTTGGAGACAAGCCGCCGCGCCGCTCTCGGGGTTAAGCTCATTGCCTAGCATGTGTGGGGCGGTACAAGAAGCTCCGATCCTGGGATACATGAAGGTTCTGAGGGTCAGTCATAGTGCATTGAATATCCTCATCAGCAATTAGTCGCAGTGGTTATCGGACCAGTGTATGTACCCGACCTCCACAGATTTATTTATAATTGCGTCTCATTAAACTTTTTAATAAAAGAAAATTATTTTAGAAAATACAACATAAAAGAATTTTAAATGTAGAAAAAGTTAAAAGCAAATACCATAAATAAATGTGAAGATAGGCAAATAAAAATTACAAGAATGAATTTTTTTCTAAATTTAACAAAAAAATGTAGTTATTTTATTATAAATTAGGAGTTCGTATTTAATTTAACATCTACTACTAAGCTTCTCCCTTTATTTCTATCTCATGACTTAAACAGTCACCAAACAAAAAGTTCTTTTTTTATAAAATTAAAAATATAGTGTGCAATACTTACTTGGTCTCCATCTTGGGCTTCAATGGTCTTTCAGAGCCTGTAACGTGAAAGATACATATGATTAAAATCACGTATTATAATGGTATACCATGAATAAAACAATTCGTAGCGACCTTTAAACTAAGTAGGTTTCTAGATGACTACCAATGAGACAGCTTATGAAGTTTGTAAATGATCACGGCAGACGAGGTCGGTCATAAATATGAAAATAGGAATAAAGTGTATCTGTGGTGATTTGTCAATTCCTATTTGTCACAGTGTTTTTTAAAAAATATTATCAGATAAACTAGAGGCCCGCTGCTACTTTGCTTTGCACGGGTGTATAACTGCCACGTTATCATTCATTTATTTAGTTAGCGAACCGACACGGTTCCGAAGGCGAAGCAGTTTTATTTCGTGATTTTTTCATACTACTTTATACATAACTTTTTTAATTAAAACCTATTTAAATCAAGTACATTTTAATTAAAAATAAAATATAAAAATCTATTGGTACGCAATTTAAATATCTTATTTAACATTTTTTTTTTAATAACCATGTCTAGGTTTTGCTATTGTGGCTGACAATGTTTTTATAACTTACTTGGCGAGCTCGGTGGCGAGTCTTTGATAGTCTCGGAGTAGATCGGCGGCGGCGTCGGCTGGGGCTGGCGGCGTACACTGGCCAACGTCTGCGTCGTCATTGTTTCTGAGAAATTATAAAACAGGTGAGCTAACTATAATACCATCGCTTTCTTTATTATAATAAAGTAGAATTTCATTCACGGGACCACAGGATCCCCGACCTTTGGAAGGCGTACGAGGGGTCGAAGCCATCTCGCAGAAGCCCTTTGAACAACTTGAATATAAGTGAAATGGGTCATCAGCCGGCAATAATCTCTGTATGCACTATAAAAGTGCACCCAAGGACAATCCCAGGTTGATGCAGAACTATTGTGCAATATGGTAGAAAATTATACGGTTATGGGAGTGGGTGGCTATGACCCCTGCTCCTGACCAATATTGTGTATGTAATAATGTACACATTATTATATTAGTAATAATGATACCTAAAAGGAGAATGCTAGATTTAGTATAAATTATGGACAAAGACGCTTTTATTAAGTAACGGCAAAGGATAATTATATTTCCAAGGTTTCTATCGTATATTATTATTATACTACTATTATTATATATTTTTTAAACTATGGGGTATTAGAGATGTTTTAATTATTAGCGGTAATTTTGAGGTTATAGGGTAGGGGTCAAACATTTGATAAATAATCAAATGTTTGACAGATTGACATTAACGAAAAAATAAATGATATATAATGTAAAAACCTTTTTAACCCCAGTTTTGTTTTTTTATAAACGATAAATATTCATTATCTTATTATGGAAGGTTTTTAACCGGTATATTTGGTTGATATACGTATGATTGGGCGGACTTAGCATTCTCCTGTCATATAAGTATTTTTTCCATCTTTTTGCTTTTTCATGTGCGAAATCCTTTTTGTATACCTATATGTAGTTTATGTTTAGTTTGTGTATTTAATTGTACAATAATATAAATATTTTGATACCACCTTTATTTAAAATCTTTATCTTAAATTACTTTTTAAAAACGTTTAACATCTCCCATAGGCATCACGTCTAGACCGAAGCAACAATTTGTAGATGGAATGATCTACAAATTGTTGCTTAGGTCTATGTGCGGAATTTACATTTCAATTCCGATATATGTTGGGTAGCAGTTAGTTGCAGACTGCGCTAACCATGCAGTTATACGAGTAATAGGAAGTACTCACGTATGGCAGAGGCTGTGTTACTCATGGCGACGACTGAAGTGGCCATGGCAGCTCGTTTCTTGGTCCTTACAGTTGTTGGCGGCATGGGGGCCATGTTCACGGGACCCATGTCTGGCTGCTTACTGGGACCAGGCATGCCACTCATACTGTAGGACAAAACATATTCTTCTTTACAACTATGGATATGGCATGAATCATAGATAAATCTATGAAAGATACTTATAGGACCTGTATAACTTATGCAGCTCATAGACCATACAGATGAAATTGTATATTAACATTTATATAGTTTATCAAGTTAATGCGTAGCAATACGAAGCGAAACTACTTTGGCAACGGTATAATATAATAACGGTATGCTAAATATTATGGCAATATAAATTAATTATTGTATTACTAAATATGCTTTAGAACTCATTCAGTTATTACATGATATCGCAATGCACAAATGCATAGCATTAGAGAAAAATATCCAAGCACAAAGTTTTCTTTTCGATTCTTGGTGAGGATTTTTCCTTAGGAGATAGAAAATCCTGAATAATATTTAAATATAATAGTAACAAAAAAAAGAAGCGAACCAGCATTTAGGTATTGTCTCAGTACAACTTGAACTAATAACATAAATGTTTGTTACATTTATTTTTCTTCGTGTTGCCAACTAAGCCCAGCCAGACTAACGAGGGAGGTTGGAGTTTGCAATTGTTTTCAGTTTATGGGACCAACTAAATGTGTGCATGTTGTATAATTATGTAGCATTGCGCATATCTCACCGCCTACCCCTTCAAGGATAACAACGTAACGTTGTTTCTTTTTATATCGAAGTAGTTTTATATTATGAAGATACCAAAGCGCTCTGTTTATTACGTTTTAATGACCTTTTACTGATCACCACTTAGCTTATTATTATCGTCAAATAGCAACAAAAAAGAGAAATTAACAATAATACATTTGCTGAGCGGCTATGGGCAACAAACGATAGTTAGCAGCAGGTGCATGGAAAAACAATACTTGATTAGCAAATAGCTCCAAAATAAAAAGGTTCAACAAATTGCCTTTTATCATCGCTAAGCTTGACAATTTTGATGAATGTAACATAATATATTGCTTAGTGGGGATGCTTCAAAGTAGCTAGCGAAATGTAACTTTTCTGATATATTTTCTTTGTGATTTGTAACAAGGTATTAAATATTATACATGGGTACATACGCATTTATATAATACAACTAACATAAAGCCTAGCAAATTAAAATAAAATTAAAATTTTGCCACCTTCCCCTTCCCCAAATCTTTCCTCATTCCCAAAATCTCCAAATCCCTAATCCCCAAAAGGTCGGCAACGCCCTCGTAAGTCCTCCGCCGTTGCGAATGTACATGGGCGGCGTGGATAGCTTACCATCAGGTTATGCTTGTTTGTATGTATGTGATGTTTTTTTATGTTCTCTCACATAAAAAAACATCCCTTGAAGTATTGGCCTCAGTAATAGTAATTAATTTCATTGTTACTACCATTCATATTATATTACTAATATGTTACATCAATGTGCTTATTACAAAAATTATCTAGATGTTTACAATGGACGCAAGCAAAGTGGAGCGCAAAACATTCGCTATTTTGTAGTGATTTATACATATATTCGCTTTACATCAAAACAAGGTAGCCTATTTCCAATGTATTCGATAAACGGAAAAAACAAGGCATTGAATGTGGAAATTTTATGTATTCTGATTTGTTTTGTTTCTAGAGAGGTGTTTATGAAGAGAAGAAGAATTTAAGATAATGTATTCAAGTATAAACAGAATGATATGTTTCTAAGGTCATATTAACTACCTCATTTTTAGCGCTAGCCAGTTATCAACTTTTTTTATAGAATTATGCCAGGCAACCGGATAAACTGCGTAGCATGAATTTGAAAACTTATCAATGATAACTTGTGTATGTATATCTACAATATCTAAATCATACGTTATTTCAGAACAATATAATTATGCATGGTTTTTGTATATAACTATGGATACATCGCTTAGCATGTTATACTATACTTATAAAATATACATAGACTCTATAATCAATGCCACATACAAACTATAGATAGATGCTTGTAGCAAGCAAAATTACCACATGTTTGTATTGTTTTGTACATGACCGAGTGAACAAGGGTCTGTAGTTTACTTACCCTGCTTTATTTGGATCTTGTAATTCGTATGCTACGTTAAGACCTCCCCAGGAGCGGCCGGGGATAGCATGCGGTGAATGCCCTGTCATGCCAGTATCCATGGCCGCCTGAAATCAAATAATTACAATTATATTAACACAAGACTTTTAATATATGTATTTAAGTAAAATACACGATTCAAAGCAAACAAAGCAAGAAAGAAAAAGTATTTATTCGCGTCTAGGACATAAGACACAAAAACTACTTCATCTTAAAGCACTGAAAGTATATAACATTTACTTTTTTATTCAAATAAATTAATATACAAGATATGTATATGACTATAACCAATATAAACAAAAAAAAATATTATAGTCAGAACTTTATAGGAAGTTATATAAAAAAAATGCATCTGCAGTATAGTAGTTATGCAGTATACAAAAACATATCTATACTAATCATTATTTATGTACATATAAAAAATTAAAATACAATCTGGATTGACTGAAAATAGTTTTCAAAAATTCGTGTTAAGTATTCTTAATTATATGAATATTGAAAAACGTCCAGCATGTTTTTATATAAAGCCAAAAAGTATTTGTAATATAAGTTTATGAATAAAAACTTGTAAGTCATGTGTTTGGCATAATACGTAAGTAAGTATGTAGTTTCGCATCTGTCCACATGTGTTCGTCGCTCTCATTTGGACGCGGCTATCGTAAATATACTGTAATTGTATGTCGTTGATATAACATATAAATCCTTGCAGCATTAACACATTGAAAATTAGGTCACATCGAATTGGCAACGAGTTGTTTTATTTGACACTCGTGACGAGAACAAACAGGACAAAATCATATTAAAAACGTTATTTATTACTGGCTGTCAGACTGTTACACTATTATTAGTTATTTAACATTTTAGAACAATGAAATGTATATTTTTTCATAGTCGATGTCATCGAGCAATCAAAGTCAGAATATTAATTTAAGTTGACTTAACAAAACTGAAACCTTTTAAAATTCAATTCTTCCTGTTAGATTTTGTGTTCAAATTAGTGCCTTATGAAAGTAGAGCGTGTTATTTATTTTCTGTAAATGCGTTTTGATTATCGAGACATACTTACATTTCCATTTTATAACAATCATATTTCCGTTGATAATACTGATTATAAATTGTCCACTGCTGATGTACAAAACTGGCGATATAATTTATTTGTGCAATACTAGATATGAACCAGTGAACTACAATTTACGAGTAAAAAATCACAATCTAAACATGATATGAACGAGCGAATTCACAAAACCGCGGGAGAAGCACACGTGTTTGTAGAGATACGGGACGTTACACACATATGCAAGAAAACTCACTTTTACACACACACGCTTTATGGTGTCACTTCAATTTACGATTTTGCGTCCAAAACATTATTGTTACTTGCGAGAACCGAGAGTACCGGCAGATGTGGTCTTACCAAGCGTCGTTTGACAACTGAATGAATGTAACGTGGACGAGCCCATGTGGTAGGCCCTACTACGAACCGCCTATACAGCAGGTAACCCGAGGGGTTGGGAGCAGGTACAAAATGGCAATGTTTATCTCCGCTAGGGTGCTTAGACACGCACCAAATTTCTAAGAACAACTTTTTCTAGCGAAATTTGTGAAGTCGAGTGGTCTTTTTTTAAATCTGATAGTGCTGATCAAATATTTGTATTTTTTGAATACTTTTTTGTCTGATTATTATTTATATTCAGTTATAGAAAGTTGTAACGGAAATTAGTAGACCAGACAGTGAACGTTGGAAGATATAAAATAGGGATAGTAAGAAACTCGTTTATTGAAATTATTATTGCTATTTCGTTGAGATTGTTGGACCCACATTTCGGGCCCTTCGGCGCATTCGTGGCAGTTGTGTACATTGTATAGACAAGTTTATTGTTTGCTAGTTCTTTACATTCTTTATACGCACCCCTGTCCTTAACAAAGTCAACTGTGGCTGGCACTTTAACAGTAGTTTTTTTTATCATCATTAATCTTTATTTAATTTTTAGATACTGTAACAATACTGTGTGAAGTTTCTAGAGTCTTTTGAATATCGTAATGTTTAGTTTAGTTATAATTTCGTATTCTTCTACCGTAGTTTTACAAGCACAGACAGATATCTCACCCAATCCCGGGACGAATATTGCCCCGTACCAATATGTGATATGTTCTGGAAGCAGCCCACGACCTGGCAATGCTATGGTTAGGTACATGTTTCATTCCAGTTCTTTATTTTGTAGGAAAATAAATTATATTTCAGGTCTATGATGTGCTTAAAATTCTATCAATTACCAAAAACCTGTCCATTTTCCTAGAGTTTAATTTTTAGATCCTACCTTCGTGACCATGATGAGAAAAGTATAGTGGTGAAAGTACAAACTATTAAAATCAGTTCATAAACTACGAAGTTATCTGCTCAAATAAAAACTGATATACCTACACAATCAAATTGAGAAACTTGCTCCTCTTATGAACTTTATTTTAAAAGCAAACTGTGCTAGGTTATTCATTGCGACCGTGTACTGATTGCAAATTTATAATAATTGATTCCATAATATTATTAAATATGAAATATCATTATTGTAGACAATGGGTTCTATAACTAACAATTAACTTAATTATATAATTTCTTTAATAATATTGTCTGGACAGTGGGCGCGTTGGCTGTGCTTCAGAGAAACATGCCACGGCACTAATACATATCCGAAACAATTTTGCGTGTTATCTACAAATTGTTGTTCCGGGTCTGGGTGTGAATTGTATGTTTGTAACCGCAGCTACGACACAGGCGAAAAAGGAGCTTGGGGCAACGATTTAATAATTTAAATAAATACCATTGCAACTCAGGTCGTTGTCACGTTTTGTAAACCGAAATAGTGAGTTTTCTTTATCAACATACTAGGAAAGTTCTGGATGATTCGTTTGATAAAAAGGAAGCTATTAAGAAATACCTGAAAAAAGGCGTTTTCACACATCTTTTGTGCTTCGCAAGACATTCATCGTGTATAAAGACAATTTATAATAAAGAAAAGAACGAACAAACAAAAGTATGACGCAATTTACGCATTCGGCTCCGTAACGACTTCATTGATATCAAATTGCCTGCCTTGACGCACTGTTGGCTGTGCAAAGGAAAATTGCATGTGACAAGTCCGTAACATGGGGTCCCTACACTGTTATTATCGTAATTACCTACTCGTCTCAAAAGCCCAGATACAATAACACACATTTCTTGTAGAAAATTATGATTATTTTTATACTTCACACATGGCATATACTTATACCATTGTACCCATATCGGGTCTGCATTACCGCTAAGGGGCAAAAAGTTGTAGAATATTTTTTCCTTTTTTTATTATTAAGCGGTTATTATATTGATACACAAAACTAATTACGGGCTCAATTGTTTACTGTTAATAAGCAAAACAACAAGTTTGGAAATCTACTCTTAATAACACATCAGAAAAATGTTTATTCAAACTAATGAGGCTGTAATCGATCTGTCATCATTAATTTATCGAAAAAAATAACAAAGTCCTATTTATGTTGATAGATACTATTTCATGTAATAAAACAACACATGAAAAGAGAGCCATGTTCTCAGATTACATTTACTAATTAGCAAAACGGAAAAATAACAATAAAATAATACGTACGTATTGTATTTTTATTGTCTATTCCTATATTAGTGACGTTATATTGATTTGTTGTGTAACATTTTTGCTGACCACAGGACTTACAACGTTGTGATAACTACACGGGTTTCCGGTCGACGATTTACCTCTTTTAAACGGGTCTAGTAAATGAAACGTTGACAAAAATAATAATTTTTGTTTCTGTGTCAAGCGATTTTATACATAAATTTTAGGTGCATGTTTTTTGTTTATCACCCAAGTCATTTAATACCTTTATTAATTAAATACTTACACTGACTTGTTTCTGGGGTTGGTGGAAAATATGCGGCGAAGGACCTGGCATGTCACTTTGAACCTAAAGAAAAGGCAAACTTTATAAATTATTCCGTACTGTATTAGTTAAAAAATACAGACATTGAGGATATAACATGAATTTTATTAGAATCTGAGTATAATTATTTTACTAAATATTTTTTTGTAATTAAGAAATATTTTTACCAGCTCCAATTTCTGCATAAGCTAAGCTTTCTTGCTCCGCAAGGAGACCATGCATCTCATAATTTGATGGTACGACGCACACGGATAAGCAGTTATTGTTAGTAGGTAGTTGTAACAAAGCATGTCTCAGTGAACACACAACTGTCATCAAATTATTACACTCTCAGTTCCCTACAGCTAACGATTTATGTATTATAAGCTTTTAACTAGCCTTAGTAGATGTTAAAAGTATTTCCAACACTACCTGGCAATTGATAAGGTATTCAGCAATAAATCACAATAATTAAAAAATAGTTTAGCTAACATTAGAAGAACAACTCAAACCAGACTAGGAAAATGAATGAACAACTAGCAAGTATCACTTTAGTTATAAAACTGATATGTATATTGCCTCACTCAGTTCGCAAATATGGCACGACAATGAGGACAAAAATGTATCGGAAACTTCCTTCTATGTAGCAATATTTAGTCTGTAATATGGAGGTGGCTAGGTAATTTCAAACTTTAGTTTAGGTGAAATAAGTTTTGTTTTGTCAGAGCAACAGTTGTGTGTCCATCGGCTAGTTATGATGAACCTGTGAGTGCGCGGTGAGGTTGAGCCCGTGGCTCGTGGAGGGCAACGGCACCGACACGAGTAGCGACGCAGGCCCCTCGCGTTCGCCCTTGCCGCCCTACACAACCACGCATTAGTACGCTGTGGGACGCCTACGGTTACATGCACGGAGAACTCACAACATTAAGTCATAACCCACTATGACTAAACACCACAAGGCATTTGTGTAATACTCCGTGATTGCATGCAATGCGTATCGATATCGATAAATCATACGAAGCCCTAATTAATATTATTTACTTTCGCATATATTTTGAAGCAGCTTTTACAAATTTTCCCTCATGCATTCGGCGCATTTGGAGATGTCATTGTGTGCAAAATGAAGATGACAAACTAAACTATTGGGATCTTCGAAGGGAAAACCTTCCTTACATCTGCTTTACAATAGTACACAATCTAAACAGTAACTAAATATTTAATGGCAATGCGAGTATAATTAAAATATCCTCTATATAAAATACAATGGAGGGTATGAAAAACAACAGGCTAACTGTCCCGTTTTAAAGCAGATTTTAATAATTATAGTTATTTTCAAGCAGTTTTGAAGCACACAAAGGCATTCGTCAAAAGCGAAGCTTATTTAAGTTACTCGAATGCAAATCTCTAATTAGATGTACGAATGAATGTTTTTAGTCAAAAATATATGATATTACTTAGGACCTGTTTCACAATGTTTCAAATTATAAGTTTTGAATAAGAATCTGATGCATGATTTGATATGATACAGATATTTATCTAAAAAAATGTAACTCTAAATTTACACTCAATGTTGATTTCTACCCTACGAATAAGTAACAATGAGCTTTATAATAAAATATTTTGAACTTATCGGTAGATTGTGAACTCGTGTCTAAGACTCAGTTATTAGGTATCAATAAACTTATGTGGCACATAGCGTATATAAATATTAAAATGTATTTGCTACTATTTAGATTTTTTTAGATTATATTACTATTAATCAATTTAGACATTGTGAAACAGGCCCTATCTCTAAAGGAAATAGAATATAAATGAATATTGTTGTAAACTTTCAAGTTTTCGTTACTAACCTGTGGGTTAGATGGCGAGCGAATGTTTGATACTTGGTTTATCCCACTTGGGCCCGGCATAGGACTGGGCAGGTGCCTGGACACACAAAAGATAAATAAAGAAAATACATACAGACATTGATATTTACAATATTGTACATAAGTCACATGAATCTCTCATAGGGCAGAAATTACTGATCCCTATAAAAAAAAATGTGGTTTAACATTCATGCTAGAAGTAAGAATATGCTGACCCTGTTATAGTTTTGTCAATATCAAAGTTAAAGTCAAATCATTTATTTCAAATAGACATCTATAGGCATAATTGAACATCAAACAAGAAAATAAAATATCGAAATGTTCAACTTTGTGTATTAGTCTGCCAGTCTGTTCTTTAGTACAGCTATTTGCTCGTCCCAAAGTGTAGATAGATTCCTATGGAGAAGACTGAGCAAGAAACTGCACGGTTAATCTTTTTCAATAAGTTTCAAAGATAATTTTAGTGGTATTGGCAGTCTCGAAAGATAACTATAGACAGAAAGAATAAAAATAAGGGCTTGTAATTTATTGAGTAGTAGATATAAGCTGATATAAAGTAAGTAGGTACCTTGGACTAGGATTGGAGGCAGGACTGTGCGCCGGTGGCGGGGGCGGCGGCGGCGCGGGACTTACACTCGCGAAGTGAGAAGTCGGCACTGGAATAGTTTCAAGACCTTCCGTCTTGGCCTGTGTAAAAAGAATATAACAAATTATACAAAATTATTACATCACGAGATTTATAAATGATGAGAAAGGTGAAATCAAGAGACAGAGTTAGTCCGCTGAACATAAAACAACATTATATATCCATCTACTTTTATATACTATCATATCTATCTACTTAGTAAATAATGACGTTTTAAAACAACTACAGCTAATCAAAAAATAGAACTAATACTACAAAGATATCAAATCAAGACTAGAAAAAATTGAATGATGATGATGAACTCTATAATAAGAATACCTTCTTAATAATTTTGTCAACGTTTTCCAGCTGAACATCTGCTGGCACATGGGTGGCCTCCCACACTCCTCCAGCTTGAGAAGTACCTTCACCCGCCTAAATAAATTTAAAACTATATAAATAGTATCCGCAACTTGCTACCAATATATAAATAAATAACTAACTAACTAAATTGTAAAAACACTAAACAAAAAAATAGTATCCGCTAAAATTATTAAGAACAAACTTACTGATTACTTATATAAACTTACATTACTAACAACTTACTTATTTTAATGTATTCTTATACGTTTACGTACGCCAGTTTGATGTTATTTTATTAATTTTTAAATGTTAATGAATGTTTTACTAGAGCAGTTAGACCTACTTTGTGGTACACAACCACAGCTATCATTGAAAATATAAAACTAATGAGTCAGAAATTTGTTTATTTTAATAGTCAGTCTAATTCTAACTATTCTGCATTATTTATTTAAGTGGATTCAGACTATTTTGTCTTCGTTTTGCACTTTTTGATTCATTTGATTTAGTAATCGATTTTCAATTTTAATTAACATATTTATTTTATTTTGGTATTGTATTTATGTTAGGTATAATTTATTATTATGCAGCACTTATGGTTTTAGCAAATAATTATGTTTACATAATTATTTGAAATATGCTAGTTTAAAGCGAAGAATTTTAACCTACATATATTTATTTAAAACCTTTTAACGCTACCTCATCCTTCTAAACACAATAATTTAGAAGTTACGAGGGAACAAATGAACATCCCTATTCATAAATACATGTAAAAATCAGAACCCTCGTTTTTATCTAGTTTTTTTCAAGTTGACATGTAATATTGCTGATTTATGGTCTATTTACAAAATAAATTCATTGTTTCGATGTTCTATAGCTTCATTATAAAACCTTGTTTGGTCTAAGAAAGTTTCCTAAATGGTGAAACAGCAACCTCAAAATATGTTGATCAAATAAATCAAATTAATATAAAACTCTTCCTCATTCGTTTTGATAAGAGACAAAGTAGTGTATATTATAATAATAGTTAGTTCAAGAGATTCTTACCCCGACTGGTGGAGTGCTGTTATTAGTGTAATCAACTGGCGCATTCATATTGTTAGCGGCTGCGATGGCCTTCCGTTTCTTAGTTTGTTTGGTCTCCACTAAGTCTGTGTTAGTAATCACCGACTCCTGGTATGTGGGCTTGGAAGTCGGGACCTGCACCACAGATGCAGGTACTGGAGTGCTGGGGATGGAAATTGAAAGTCAGTAATTTACACGTCGACGAGAGTAGTGGTGCATGTATTTTACATAAAAAATATAATACTGAAACAGAAATATCAAAAACACAATTTTTATCTCTTGTTAGCTAATTGAAACACTAATCTTTTATCGATAATCTGGATTAATGTTCAGTTGTGACAGATTCCCTTTCAAGTTATGGTTAACGCTTATAAAAACAACAAGATGACAATGTGTGTCCAACTAACCAAAGCGAATATCATTTTTCCGAACTATTGTCATTTTTCACATATTCACACCCAAAAGAGGGGGTGGTTTATTACAAACATTTAATTATCAAACCGCTGCCTGTACTCAGTGCAAGTTAGGCGAAGGAAGATTGATGTTGGTCAGAGTATGCTTTAGCAAATGATTTTTTGTCATATGTCGGCAAACGTGCCGCCTGTAACTAAATGGTAAGCAATCAGTGCCGTCCATGGACACTTGTAGTACCAATGGAGTTACTACAAGTGCGTTGCTGGCCTTTTGATGGTTATTAGGGAGATAAGAACTGGACCTTAAAATATTGGGCCTTATTTAAAAATAATGTAATCAATAACGTACCTAGTAGGATTGGTAGTAATAGTTGAGACGGAGGCTACTGCCTGTGCTACTGAGCTGATGACTCCCACTGGTTCCACGGGTTTGTTGGCGCTGGGTGACGCCGCTGGAGGCGTCACCTTCGACGGACCTGCCGGCGTGGAGCTGCCTGATGCTGTAACAATAATTACGGTATTAGTCTTCTTTGTTATACACCTTGAATCTTATTAAATCTCTGTCTCCTACGTATGTTTAATGCATAACATCACCACCAAAACAAAATTAACTGCATATTTGCTGTAACATAGTACTCAGTATTACGACACAATTCTACTGAGTATTTAATAAATATGGTGGAAATGAATAAAATACATGTAACATTACTATTATTTTTAAGTTATTCGCTATGCTATCTGTTTTATTTATAAACATACTATCACTCCAATAGATTCATTAAAAGTTAGTATATACTGTCTTCAAAAAATCATTAGATCATTATTACCATAGATATGAGGTTTAGATTAACTCCGTTTTTAATAATTTGTAGCAACCTCGATAACCTGTGCACGGCGCTGAACTTACTCAAAAGATATCTTTATTCTCAAAGATCTTGGTTTGATCAAAGCAATTAATAACTTAAGTTCATAAACAAACCTTTGACCACTAGGCACAGAGAGCACAGAAATTGATACAAACTTTTTCTCAGATTAAGAGTGTGACCTCATTTGTGGATGGTAGAAGAATAAATTAAGATAAGGAGTAATGCCATACAGATACTGACCGCAACACGAGTTTCAGTGTCAGGTATCCCATAAAGATAAAAAAACTAAGGTTCGCGATTAATGATTAACGTTTTAGCAGAACTACTCCGAGTAGCTAAATGTGTTTTTTATTATTATAGTAGTCTACATCGATAAACAAATAGAAACTAATAAAACCTTCAGCAATAGAGCAAAACAAATTTAGACGGTGCGAGAGATTTGACCTTTTTTGGGAAGAGAGACTCGCGTCCTAGTCTCTAAGATCCACATTGAGTAACTTAGAAGACGGATTAAAATAATTATGATATTTTTTATGTGATAGGACACGCGCCATATCGCACATCATCACGCCTTATCCGGATTAGGGTATTGAGGATTGGAAGAGTGGAAAGATTGGGCCTCCGGAAAGCTCACTACTACATGGCGAAACACAACATTTGGTTGTTTTACGCCGACTCATATAATGTCGTGGTGGCCCGGAGGTTAAGGAGCCCGCTTCTCATGCATGAGTGTGTGGGTTCGAAACCTGGCAAGTACCAATGTGACTTTTTCCAAGTTATATGTACTTTCTATGATTAAATAGACACCACTGACATACGGTGAAGGTAAACATCGTGAGGAAACCTGGACTTATAATTTCTAATTATAAGTTTGAAACCGCCAACCCGCATTGAGCAAGCGTGGTGATTAATGCTCTAACCTTCTCCGTATGAGAAGAGGCCTTTGCTCAGCAGTGGGCACTTATAGGCTGATGATGGACGCCGACTCATTCGTGCTGAAGCATTGGTCTCCCGTAGTTATGAAAATAGAAATAAGTAACATTACCTTTGGGTTGAGCTGCTGCGGTCTCTGTCGTATGCTGCGGGGAAGGCGCTGGGGTGCTGGTCTTACTGCTGGACCCACCGTCCCCAGCAGAGGAGCCGCGGCGAGACGGCGACGGCTTCTTCTTGTCTGACGAATGATGCAATTTGCCACCTAAGTACCACCGTTATACATTGACTATAACTTAACAAACGAGCACATGCACAACGCAAACGTTACGACAACTAACATTCACGATAACTAAATCTGAGATACCATTACCTTTTAATCCTCTTGTGACACCATACCAAAAAAACCAATCATCCTCGGAACAAAACCTTCATTTTCTTCTTAAACGTCTATATATTTATATACATATAAATACGCATAAGTACATAAACATGCTTAAATTGTACATAATTATATAGTGAACAAAACTTTTATAAAAGCAGGCTGTTACTTACCTATACGTATTATGAGAAATAACCATAAAACCGAAAGCTACCTCCATCATATCGACTTTCTACGATAAACGCTAAAATAACACTAACATCAAACAATCAACTTGGCATATCAAATGGTTATACCGTAGGTAATAAGTAACTCCTTGCTTACTTGCTTAAGGGACCAACAGTTTATTTGAATAGTGGCATAATAATCGATGTAATGACATGTTTGTTTGTTTTATGAACTGCGTTTGCACTGTAAGGGTGTTTTGGACTTTTATATGTGCCATGTTGCGATGCGCCGAATGTAGGTTCAACCGAATAGTAATATTTCGCCAAATATTCGGCATTAGGTTTTAATTAATTTAATTTGGTTTAAGTATCGTTTTAATATTTTTGATATGAGCTATGTGTCTGATATGTAGCTTCTGATAAAAACAATGACCAATTTTGACTAAGAAAAATAAGAATTAGTATTAAAGTTAAACTTATAGCGTAATATATTGAAATTTCTAAAATATATATTTTTTAACAATTATTACAAAAACGGCTAAACATTCGGCGTATCTCTTATTTCCAATGAGCTGAGCACATTTTGATAACTTAGCTTTAATTAGAAAGCTATGATTACTTCTTGTTTAATGGTAATTGCTTGCAATTTGTTATGATTATTCTCATCAATTATATGCTCTAGTAACATAAAGAGTCCCAAGATGAAGCAAGGAGTTATTCTTACGTACGAAATCCTTCAACAAGACGTTTTTGATAAAGAACATCGATGCAAGAGCTAACATGCGACAACATTAACGTTAAAAACGAACTTTTCTCGGAAGCCTTGTGTTTTCGCGTGACCGGCCCAGAGTCTGTGCTATCTTGCGACATTTCTGCTGACGACGAGCGAAAAAATTACGAATACCATTAGTTTATATTGAAAAAATATCATTGTTCATGATTTCATTTACCTAATTTTCTTTAAATTTATCTCAGATATGCATCACACCTTTTGCAGAATTAATAAGTCTTTAAACTGTACATTTTATTATTAACCTAGACAATTAAGAGATCGCATTTAACAATTTTTAATTGAAAGCTTATCGAAGAAGGGGAATCAAACATAGATAGATGAATGCACAGTTAGAAATGTCAAAAATATAGGCAGTTGTTAGGTTATTATTGGAAATAACAATATTAGTTTATTCTACAAAAAAACTAGCCATCTTGGGTCTATCATAAACATATTTATTTACATATAAGATTATCGGATAACTTTTTATCTACTATAGGATATGTAAGTAAAAATATAACTTGTAAAAGTTAAGTGGGTTTGAAAGCAGTTTTTTACTTACCCATCATTTGGTTTTGATTTGGAGTTTTTGATGCGTTTGGAGTGCTCTTTCCTGAGACCACGGTGCTTGTTGCATGCGATGAAGACTTACGTCCCGGCTAAGAACACAAAGAAACTGATATACGAATATTCGACAGAGATTGAAGAAAATGCACGAGATACTGTGGTGCAAATCAACAAAATAAAACATAATTAACAGTTGTATTTATAAATGTATGCGGTGCACACTACATTTTCATAACCGTTGAGTCTTTACCACATGTACATAATATGTAGGTATGTAATAAATGTAAAATTGAACACAATATTATTATCAAAAATACTTAATTTCAATAACAATAACTGAGTTATTAACGGACCTCAAATTGGGTTGATTAATATTACGAAGTATTAACATCTGTTCCAATATTTTTCATGGATTTTGTCATTCACTTAGTCATTTCATTTCATTAATTTAACATTAAAAAGAAACAAAGGTAAAGCAGTTTCAGATAAAAATTTTAAACGGCGGTCCAAAACGGTGATTGTACGAAGCACAAGCATATTATAACATAAAGTGTAGCAGTGATGAGCTGGATGGGAGGCGGTGGAGTCAGGCTTGAGACGTACGTACCCCTTTGGACTTGCCGGTGTGAGTGGGCGTCGCGCCGCCGCTAGCCTTGGGCGAGCATGAGGGCTCGCCCTCCTTCTCGCAGCTCGAGTCGCTCGACTGACTATCGTGCGACACCGGCTTGTACGGCGGGATCGTCTTTACGTTACCGCCCTTTTTCTGCACAGTCAACGATCGGCACCGTATCACACACAGCTCATTAGCACCGGCATTATTTTGGTCTCTAATATAACGAGTGCGCTCTAAACCACTATCAAACAGGATATTTTTGTTCAATAATTCATTAACCTTTAGGCTTGGTACACATGTACACTACTCTACTTTACTTTATTCTAAACTAGAATTATGACTTCCAATTGTTTATATAATGAAATGATTTTAGTACCTTGGCGATGATGGTGACATCATGATTGGTGAACTAAAAAAATGATAATGAATGAATAAATCAATTTTCATGCACAACTCGGTGGCAAAGTATCGCAGTAATTAGGTGCTGTAGGCCGACATGATAACAAAATGACAAAGTGAAAATGTTAGACATTAAACGCGTACTCAACACAATAATCAGCTCTGGAGATCGGACCAAGTCATCTAAATGCTGGCGCGCATTACTTGCACAAACAAGGCGCCATTGCTTTTAAAACATTTCTCTCGAGCAGTGAATCAAGCTCAGCTCATTTCTCCAGTAACAGGCGCCAGTTTTCAGAACTTTCGGAAACTGTCTTATGAACGCGTACTCAAAATGACAGGAGTGAACACTGACACAGGCTTTAGATATACATTACACAGAGAATGCTAATGACATCATAGTGCATCCTGACGAGGAATGGTATGTACTTTATCAGTTTTCTTTTGTTGATGACCTTACGTATGAAATTATCAGCTGTGATAATCCTACAAAAATCGATAAAACAAATCGACTCGGTATTTTACTAACAGTTTTAGCAACGTCAATAAGCAACCAACACAGCACACCAGACATTATACGATATATAACTAATATATATATGTATTAGCACTAGTACCATACCATTATTAATATTAGAATACATAAGCAGCATTAGTATGTGACCAGCAACAAACTGCAATCATTTGAGATCGAAAACTGCACGGGTTGTTTGGCCTAAATTATTATTATTATTCTTGAATTTGATGCGAATTTCAACTTGATTCAAAGTCGCACTCACCAGTTTACTATAGTGATGTTGGCAGTATCCACAGTACTTTACATTGTCCAAATAGTTGCCCGCTTCCTCACACAGGAGGCCTAAGCCTTGTGCACAAGTTACGTGGAACTGCTGTTTGCAACCTGATGAAAAGGAAAATAATTAATGTAAGCTATCTGAGCCAGTTTATATGATCATAGGTAACAAAGTGTTATTCTACAATCTCTTAATTTAGATACATGTGTGAACTTATGATTTTGGTCCTATATGATGTTCAAGATAAAATAAAAAACATTTTGCATGGATGTGGGGTGAACATATCTTCAACATAATTATTAAGTTTTGTTTGAAGGCTCAAGCATGGATATGGGTAGTTTATAACTTTCCATTAGTAGAAACGGAAGTGAGGATGCCTTGGGTACTGAACGAGATCCTAGAACCAGTTAATACTTATTTTTTTGAGCAAACGACTGGACTAATGGATTTTTAAAATTATTTGTTGACATTTGACATAATATATATTCTCGGCATGGCCATTTGTATTTCCATGTCTAGAAAAGCAGTAAGCATAAAGGTAATAATGGATGTTACCTGATTTGTTGCACTGCATGCAAGCACCGGCATTTGCACGATGCGTCTTACCCAAATCTTGGCAGATGTAGCAAGTCTGAAACATATTAATTATATACTTAGCTTACTTATCCAATGAAAAAACAACAAAAATATTATTTAAGGATTTATTGCACACCTATATCAATTATAGGCATAAAGTAATTCAATATTTAACCAACTCGCTTAAAATTAGATGCCTGGCTGCAAATCCAAGCATACAATAATGGCCAAGTAAAATAATAAATAATATACTCAAAGATCTCACCTTATTATATCTCTCAGGTGGAATCAAACGCAGTACAATAGGTTCCATAGACGTCACATTGCCGAATCTGACCTCTGGTATGTACAGAGCACACACCACGTGAGCCCATCCACCTGTGTCAGACCTCTTCAAAGCCCCCGATTTAGACGGGCACAGCTCGCAGCGCTGGAATAACAGAAAATTGAAATGAGAAATTCAGACCTCGCGAACAACGCTCAAATATGGCTACACTTACAACTTTATTTTTCGTTTCTGGACTTTCACATTTCCGACAAAACCAGGGGCCTGTTGGCACTGTGACAATACCGTAGCATGCTGAAAACATTGAAAACCTAGATAAAACTCTGAAGAGTACACAAACACTAGCAAAATCATGAAATAAAAATGTATAGAATTAAGACAAAATAGTGTTGGTTGATGCCTTGATCAGGTCCTAGCCGCAGACATCAACAGTTTAGAATACTAGAATACCTTGATGGACTGCAACAGTGCAACCATTTCCGTCACAGTAGACAAGCGGGTTGTCGGGCCAGCCCCGCTCGTCAGAGCACACGCAGCAGCCTCCTACCATCTCCTTCATTGTGTACTCCTCATTATTGACTTAAAACCTACAAAACCCTCATACTTGTACAATTGTTTACAAAAGGAACAACATTTCAATGACCAAGTCATGAAATAGCAATGTATTAATTTGTAAATGTGCTGAACCAAAACGTCACCAGGTAATTTGACCCTATGGAAGCTTAAGATGGTTTAGATGCCAAACACAAATGATGTGTGTAACAATGATCAAACATATGCACTAGCAATGAATGTCTCTGACACTTCAAATTGAATTAAACTCTCACTCAACTATCATAGCATTAATACCATTGCAATACAAATACAATACTTAATGGCTGGTTGTTACTAAAATATTTGATGTAATGTCATCAAGAGGAAGTTTGACCAAGAGAGAAAAGCATGCATGCAGTTAATAGATGCTGTGTGTTAAGTTTTATTTAATACATTTTTTTTTAGTATAGTGCTAACTTTTTTGTAAAATTTAATTCATATTCAAAACTTCTGCTGATTTATGGTTATTAGTGTTCACCATACTAGTTAATAAATAAATATTATTAAATAATAATAAAATTTCTGTGTGATCGACATTGTAAAAAGGGGTGCTTAATGAAAACTGCACTAAGTTAAGCTATAATTAATATGTAGGTGATTTACATCAAATGTCTAATTTGTGTAAGATGTGAACTTTGTTTCTCAGCAAGTGGTACAAAGTAATGTTTGACCTACAAACCCAATTGCTAACCAGAAACATAATAAAGGAACAAGTGCAAAAGTTCCACTGAAAGATTACATCATCTCAAAACAATTCTCCAACTTTGCTTATAAGAAAACATTATGTTTTAATCATTTATCACTTTCAAGTTTCTTATGGTATAACAAGTGTTTAACATAATTCATCAATTGTTTGAATTTATTTAAATTTTAAAACACTTTAAATATGAATGTTATTGGATAACAATGATGGCATTGTAATTTTATTTTTGCTCAGTCATTAACATTTTTACACGGTAAGATTCATCATCTGATTATTAACAAATCATTTGACCCAAGTTCATAGTTACAACAGCTATTTGTATGAAAAACACCTAACCACAACACACTTCTAATGCTTTAAAGGATAGGTGTACTACATACTCTCCTCATTGTGACGTCATTTTTGATGTTATGAAACGGGAATGTATGTGTTACATTTTATATTATGTGCAATATAAATGTGATTGTAACTTATAAAAATGATATAAAAATATTTTCAAATTCTATTTTAACATTATCTACAAATATTACAATTTAAGTGTTATAATATCTAATGTTATTTACATTTTAATGTGAATTTGATAAGCAGATAGCTGGCAAATACTTATATACTTTGTATGTGCCTATAATATAGTATATTTTAGTAGTGCACTGTACAAATGAAAACTGATTTCCTGCGACAATAATAAATTATATACATAAACCTTAATATTTGCTCATAATATAATAAGAAAGTCACCCGGTCACCCCCTGTTTTGTATGAGTGTCCAAGTACCGTTTACCCAGTAACAGTTTTTTGATTTGTTAGTGAGTCATGACAGCATCAAAAGGGTTGACTCTTACCAATTTCCCCTTCAATTTCGAGTCTTTAGCAAATGCAGTATAATACATTAATTGGAATCAGTCTTGCAATTCACACACATTGCAATGAATAAGAGCAATTGGGATGTTTTTTTATATATAAATAGACTGGTTAAGTTAGCACAATTATATCTGATGTAGAAAAATATATTGCATGTTTATGGGCATATGTTTACAAGTTTTAATTGATTTTATTATTGTTTTAAAATGTTTAGTAAAATAATTGAAGTGTATTAGACAAGAATGTAAAGTTTAAGTTATTAAAAAATCTGAGATATTAACATATTTTGAGAAGGCTAATTATAATTAATAAGAGTCTGTTTTATAACAATTGGATAGTTACTATGTTTCAGATAAATAATAAAGATCAGAATAAAGGTTAACAAAACCGATCTTAAATAATATTTTTAAGTTATTGTATTTTTTTCACCCAAGGGTGTACAACTTGATGAAACTGAGAATGTTGTGTACATCTCATCTTGCTCTCTAATCTGCCTAAGACTAAAAGGAAATTAAATTCTACACAAACTCAGGATCATTTGATTTAAAATAAACTTCAATTAGCTTAACACTGACAACTATATATGGTCCTGATTCTTAATGAAAAAAGGTTACAAATGTATATAGGAACTCATTGTCAGTAGGGGGCATTTTAAGCTTTTCATATATGACCACACAGGCATTCTTATTTTGACTAATCATTTCTAATTTTACTTGTGGAATATTTCTTTGTTTGGGTAGCGTTTAAATGCTTTTTTATCTATTTATATTGTAACCTACAAGTTTGGCTTTACATCATCCACATAAGTAAGTAAGTAGAAACAAACAAACTAAACTTATATATGATGTTGAGTTAACAAATTGTTATATATTCTACTTTATATGGCACATAGTGGCTATCCAGCCATTAGGAAAAGAGCCAAGAATGCTGTAGCTATTAGCGTTGTTATGCTTCATGCAAGCATTTCCTTGCATAACAATCACTTTTGCTCATTGTTTATATAGAACACAAATCAGCACAATTGTTTTAGAAGTAAATGAATTTCTTCTCTAATGTAATTATCACTTAGTTTATTTGCAGGAGATTAAAACACTTAATAATATCTAACTGGAATAACAAAAAAACAGTGCACTGTTTACACCGGTCACAACAAAAATTTACGTTTTGGTGATGGCCTTTGGGAATGTAACTTTTTTTAAATGCTAAATAGTCGCAGCTTTACTACAATATATATTACAGACAAATAGAGGTGTAGTCTAAGAGATAAGTACTAGAAAAGTTTAACATACAAATTGTCTTCAATTTTGCCAAAGGTGAGCATGAGGATGACACTATTACAACATTTACATCTAACGTTAGGAATTAATAAGCAATATATAATAATTATTCCAAAAGCAAGAGCCAATACAGTTTGAAGTGTAACACCAATGAATAATGCTGTGATATTTTTATGACAATGAATAACTTACAGCTTCCATCTAGTTATATTTACCAATAGTAAAATTATCCGTTTATCGGTGGAGAAACTCCCAGCAACAACTGTTTAATTCATCTTTAATTTATAACTGATATCTTTTATCACCTCACCTGCGCCTAGCAAGAACGATAAAACGATGTGTAATTACACAGAATCAACCGATTTTAAATAAACCCGGTTGAAGTAACTTAAAAATTGAAATAAAATGGAGTTTTTACAGTAAATAACACTGACTAGAAGTAATTTATTGATGCAATAAGTCATTTAAATTATTCGCTCGCTGACACTGCCTAGAAGTAGCTTCAACTGCTTCAAGTAAAAGCCATGTTGAATTTTGTTTGGAATTTACACCAAGGAGGTTTGTGTTATCTCTAGCATGAAATCAAAAAGGAGAAAGCAAGATACGATTACAGTAAGAGTAAGCGAGAAAAACAAATTATTCAACATTCACAATGTATTTTAGAGCGCTGGAACGCGATAGTTTACAATGTTCATAAGGGTTGGTTAGGTCATACAATACATGTACATAATCATGAAGTATGGAGCCCGGACGGACAGAGAGTCAATTATTGACGAATACTATCTCGCTCTCTTTGGGGTGACTTGTCTTTTTAGTGGAAATTATCCATTTTTGTGAACGCTAACGGATAATGATTTTTTTTAACTACCTAGATTATGACATTCAGCCTCCGAAGACTGTAGACTATTTATTTTGGACCCATCCGTATATAACCCAATATAACCTAACAACTTGGAAAGTTCGAAGTAGTGTTTTTTATTAGTGATTTATTTAAAGAACAATTTTAAGATAACATGCACACATTCTTAATTAAAAGGGGCAGTAGGTACATAATCAGAAATAAATGTTTACTAATAAAAAATCCAGACCAGATCAATAAAATATTTTAATTCTATTTTATAATGGTTACCCTACTTAGAAGGAGAGGCTCTGTCGATGGAGAGTGAGATAGAAATAAATAGGTTAGGTTAGCTTCGGAGTTTTGGCTCCATTTTTATCTGCACCTTCATGGTCATGTTCAATTTAACCCAGTTAGGTTTGTTATGTTGGTAATATTGTAAATACAAAAACAAAACAGCGTTCGCGTCTGATGCGCGCGCAGCGTGCGCTAAGTGCGCGAATATATACTTAGCAAAATAGCAACTCTTATTGATTTAATAAAACTGCGACCAGAGAAATAAATAGCTAAGAAAATCATATCTTGTTTACTTGTCAGCAAATTATGATTTATGCCACTTACTCTATGTCACCTGTGATGATCCTATATATTTTCTATAGAAACTAGTTATACTTAGATGGCTTTATTTTTCTTCTGGTTTCAAACGATAGGTCTTCATCCTTACAAGATCAAAACAAAAGTATAACTAATTTACAAAGAACTCAATACTCATAATGTAAATGAAACATTTAATTTTACATTCCGCTGTTTAATTGAAACAAAAAAGTAAACATAGATCTATAGCTAACATTTTATGCTCTTATACCATTACGTGAAGATTGAGATTCGCAATTCGCATCTCTAGCTAGAGTTACTGTCAATGTCACAAATACAAAACAAAAAGGGATTTGCTTGTACTAGGTACTCTTTGGTTGTCACAGACTAAGCTGCCTAATAATCTTGTCTCGAGTTACCAAAATAAAAATTTCTTTATCTGTGGTCCCGTCCGAGAATTTGGGAGGGTGGGGGAGAAATCTTGTTCACGAATATTATACACACAGACTTAGGGGTTGCCAACAATGAAACGAATTTTCTATATATTTTGCGATTTTAAAAAGCATTTGAAGTTCATTGTCAGCAATTTGATATTAAAGATTTCGCTCAGTCTCTACATGCTACCTACTCAGGTAATAAGTATTTTATAGGTAGCCTATGTCAATCGATCAATACTAACGCTTAGGCGCGAAACACGGCTCGCCCTGTACGGCGCATCCATCGCGATGGCAGTAGCCGTTGCTATAGGCAACCAGGCTTTCAATTGACACGAATTGACACAAGGAAAAGTATAGATGGCGCTACGGTCACCAGCAGCAAATCAAAAGAGACACAGGATTATTATATTGTTAATAGACGAGATACCTAACTTCTTTCGTAGTAATGATCTTATTTGATTTTTTCACTTTTTAGTCTATAATGGAGCAATATAATAATTGTTAATTACCATCGAGTTAGGCTTATTTTTCAAAATCAAAGTGTGGGAGAGCCATGCTTCGGCACGAATGGGTCGGCTCGACCGGAGTGATACCACGGCCTCACAGAAAAGCGGCGTGAAATAACCACTGCGTTGTGTTTTGCCGTGTGAGTGAGGTTACCGGAGGCTCAATCCTTCCCCTTCCCCAATCCCTCCTCAATCCCTAAATCTCCAAATCCCTAATCCCTAAAAGGTCGGCAACGCACTCGTAACTCCTCCGTTGCGAGTGTCCATGGGCGGCGCTGATTGCTTACCATCACTTAATCCGTCTGCTCGTTTGCCGACATACTTATTACATAAAAAAAAAGTGAGGATGGGCAAGATGCATTCTCGGTACGTCGTTCTCGGTTGTCGAGTAACTTCTTTTTCTTGTCTCGTTTGGAAATAGGTAAACTAGTTGGCCCAGATAGATATATTCTTGGACGTACCTATGCAATTTCTGCTCCATCTACTTCCAACCTGTGTTTTAGACCATTTGTCATTAGTTTGGTCTTCGACATATTGATCTTCAGTCTCAAGGCTCGCTCTGCTAAGTTAGTTGATCATGTTGCCTAGTTCTAACGCTGAAGACGAGAAGAGCACGATATCATCGGCGAAACGGAGGTTTGTTAACCTCTTCTCCCCGATGACCAAACCGCGCGTGCTCCAGCACTGCTCAACCTTTTTGAAAACCTCTTCTAAGGTCGCTGTGAAGAGTTTCGGAGATAGCGGGTTGCCCTGTTTGACTCCTTTGCGGACAGGGAAGGATTGGCCTAACTTATGTAGGTTGATTGCTGCAGTACTTTTATAATAAATACGTTTTTATTATAAAGTTGTAAATTTAATATTATATTATTAAGTGTTAAAAGTTGTAAATATGGATGAATGGGTGGGACTGTCGAAGGCTTTAGTAGTCTATGAACGCTATGTAGAGTGGGAGTTTAAATTCACTGTATTTTTCCATGATCTGATTGAGGGTATGAAGGTGATCCGTAGTAGATAGAGAAACCGCGTCGGAAACCTGCTTGCTCAGGTGGTTGATGTTGGTCCAAATTGTCGGATATTCTGTTTTCTATTATCATGAACACAAACAAAATGAAAAACTTTGGTAAAGTATTTTGTTCGAAGCCGAAGTAGGTATTACCGAGTTGTACTAAGTTTGTACATATCAAACCAAGACACCTGATTGAGAGTAGGTACTACCAAGTGTATGAAAAATGAGAAGCACGGTCTACGATTTATATCTATAATAATAACATTAAAAAGCCCGCAAGCCCGCAAGCCCGTAACCCCTTGAGAGCTTCGGTAGGTTCCTGTTTCGGATCCAACGGGAGGAAACGCCCGAGTGTCGCCATTATGAGAACCACCTAGAGGAAACGCCCGAGTGTCGCCTTTGTGAGAACCACCTAGAGGACACGGTGGAGCATACAGTGGCGGAGTGCCCTGCTTGGGCTGAGCACCGCTGTGTCCTCGGGTAAATGATCGGCGGCGACGACCTCTCGCGCCCGGCCTTAGTTGGGGCCATGGTTCGAAGCGAGAGGAACTGGGAAGCCGTCTCCTCTTTCTGCGAAACAGTGACACTTGCAAAGGAGGTGGCGGAGCGTGTGTGAACTATCCTCATCGCGCTCCAGGAGAAGGAACGGGGGGGTTAATAATCAGTTAGAGTTGACACTCTCTCTCCCCTGGGTGGGAGAAGTCATTTGATGATTTTCCCCTGACAAAAAAAGGCGCCCCCTTGAGGAGAGGTGACGGGCTAGCATCATCCCCATGGCTCCAGGGAGGAGTCAACGTTCTAGTCGTTCTTATCTCTGGCTTATTTTTCTTGGCTGGCCGAAGTGAACCGGCGAGGAACTTTGCGACGATGTCCCAGGGCGGGGATCCGACTAGGAGGCTCATTGCCTCAAAGGAGACCTTACGGTTTTCCCTTATTATCCTAACGACCACTGTGGCATTCACAGCGCGGCGGTGTTGTGAGCCGTCAGTCAGTCAGTCAGTCAGTCAGTGTAAAGTAAGGCCCGAAATTCCACCGACTATCGAGAACGAGTCCGAGGTACTTCATCGTGGGCTCAACAGCAATAGAAAAACCTCCTACTATGATGGTGGGCGCCTGAAGCGGCTTCATACTCGGCCCATGAAAACACAGGGCCTCCGACTTGTGCAATGCCACCTTTAAGCCCAGCTTCCGGACCTAACCAAGACGTGCGCGACAATAGCAGTCGTGCATTTGGCCGCCTGCCGGTACTCCTTCCCACGCGCTGTAACTAGCGTAGCGTCGGCGTAACAAATGACGACTCCGCCGCCGTAAAGTCGTAGCCAACGCTCCACAGGAGCGGACCCAACACCAAACCCTGCGGAACGCCGCACAACGTGTCTCGAAGGCCCCACCCTTTAGTTTATAGTTAGCCATTTCTGCCTTAAGCTCCTCCGAGCTAGAGAGACGCAGGGAGCTCCTCTGTCTACTCCTAGATCCGAGACGACAGATGACGACTCCAACAGGCGAGTGACTCTCCCTTCTGGCACCCATTTCGATAGAGCCGCAATCTGCCGCTCGTCCTCCTCCAGCTTGTTGGCAATTGCTGCGGTCTTTATTGCAGTTGCAACCGCAGCCTTACGCCTGGATAGGCCGATATTTGCCAGTAGTAGCAGCCTTTTAGGGCTTTTCAGCCGGGGTTGCGGGGTAAACGGCGTGGTTTTTAGTAGTAAGTAAGAGTCTGACACTCCCTCCCGCTCGACCCTAGTCGGGTTGCCCATCACAAAAAACCGTGTTATCCGTGCGTGCTCCTTTTGGCCCATCAGATAATATGGCCTCGGCCGGGACATGGCACAGCGGCTAACTAACCCACCCGTCCCAGTACTTTTTTTATGGAATAGGTCGGCAAACGAGCAGACGCATTACCTGATGGTAAGTAATCAGCGCCGCCCATAGACACCCGCAACGGAGGAGTTACGAGTGCGTTGCCAACCTTTTAGGGATTGGGGTTTTGGAGATTTAGGCATTGGGAGGGATCGAGGGAGGGGAAGGATTGGGCCTCCGGTAACCTCACTCACACGGCGAAACACAACGCTGTGGCTTTCGATCGTGTCCTCCTTTATTTATTATTTTAGAGGTCCTCACAATGACGACACGCGGGCTTT